TCTGAAGTTGGGCTTTTGTGCGGGTGACCCACGATAGCTGCGCCTGCAGTTTTTTGTCTGCATTTTTTTTCAGCCCAGTTATTTGTGTAGATATTTATCTTTTACCCCAGCAGCATCAGACCCAAACAATAGGCTGAGGTGTCACCCCTGCGGGACTCCACCCCCCCCCCCCCCCCCCCCCCCCCCCCCTCCACCTACGTTGCTGGCACGTGAGCCGCACGCCACACAGCAATTTGTGTTATTTGATTGGCATCGGTCGCTAAATTTCTTGGATTTTATCCGTCTTCTTCCATGGGCTGAACCGGGAACAGGAGAGCGATGGGGAGAAGAATTGGGGGGGGGGGGGGGGTGGCTTTTACCGGTCCCTCCAGGCACACGAGGTTCAGTTTAGCTTAATCAGAAAATAACTGGAGGAGAAGCAAGCCTGACATGGATATTATGATCGCATCGGCTCGCCCGGACGAGTCGGGCCGCACGAGGGGAAATGCGAATTTCATGGCACGACGTCCCCCCCGGCTCGGGAGCTGCGGCGCGCCGCTCTGCTGCGATGGTCCCTCTGCGTTCTCTTTAATGGCTTAGTACTGTGACAGCGTGTTATTTGCAGATTATTGCAGAATGAGATGCGGTCCCTCTGTCAGTTATGGCCACAGAACGTCACTTGGAGCAGCCCGGAAACAGAAAGGGCACAGAGGAGATGGCAACGAGGGATGAGCCGTTTCATACTCTTTGGCATTAATTTTTAAGTTCGAAAGGCAACAAAACTCCCAATCAAACTATTCTACCACCCCATCTGTGAGACCTATTTACACACAGCTTATGTTTACACAGCAAATAGCTTTGAATACACATAAGTTTTGAATATATAAGGGGAATTTATGCACTGAGGCATGATTTCTGCTTTCGTCGGTGAGAATAAAAATATATTGAAAAGTCTGTCGTCAAGCAGTGGGAATCGAGCAGCCTGGGTGGTCATTTTTGGCTAGTGACAAGATCAGCACAGAAGAGACACCATAAAAGCTCTGTGGGAACAAGATGGAGTCTGGGGATACAATGTATGATGGGAAAGCGGTGGGACCTTGCCAGGGGATGACTGGCATGGAAAACAAAAAATAGGTAACGTTGATGCGAGATGCACCCAGGACCTCCAGTTATAATCCTACCTCCTAGCTGCAGATCAGAAGCAGCGGTCAGTAACACCAGGTGACATTGTTGCACGCCACAATCCTCTCACCCAACCCTGCAACCGGGATCAATATTCATAGTAATGCATCCACCCACAATCCTCGGGAGGGTGTTGGCGTTTTCTGTAAGAAAATGACATAAACAAAGTCTGGCGATCTGCAAATGCAATTCAAATACCAGGATTTAAAGAGCACAGGCCATGATGGATGTGAGACGCCGCAGATTTAAAGTACACAAGGAGTCCTGATAAGGCAGGCAGAGAATTTTAAATGTCTGGGAGACAGGATAACCTGATGAAACAAGAGTTTGCAGAAAGAAAGTCAACTGTTATTTCTCTCCCTTCTAGCGTAATGCTCTGGTATATTTTCTCTAATAAAGCAGTGATCCATCTGAAGTTTTTGTGTCAGATAAGCTCTGCCTACTAACCTAATACACTTGGTAATAATTATGCCAAAAGGTTTGCAAGGATATCAGACCTTGTTTTAATCTTGTAGCAAAATATGCTGCAGAACTAATGAAACTGAATTATTTATACCTATATACAAATGTTCAGTGATTACAAGGAAAGGAGAAGGTTACACGGTCAAACAATCCATCCATGGCTTGCTTCATTCATTCATTCATCCATCCATCCATCTTCTCACTGCTTATCCTGGTCAAGGTAGCTGGTTCTCAAACACTCCAGCAAACTAAATCAGTTAATATCTTGTGGGCAACCTGAACCAGCAGTTTGGGCACCTCCGCTGATTCCAGTTCAGAGCTTCCTTATCAGGGGTGATTCTAGGATTTTTTTTTTTTGTAATGTGGGAGGCATAAGACAGGCTAAAGTAATCATTAGCCAATGCTGTGTTTTCAACAGGTGAGTGACAGGGGCGGGGCACTCTAGAGTCCAATCAGCTTTCAGCTGGAGTCAGTGTCCATTTAGCCCCACCCCTGTATAGGCCCTTGATCCTTATGGTCTTCACATGTTATCTCCCCTCAACCAGCACCTCCAGCATGACTGCGTCACAATCCCCCTGTCAGGCACCGATGGCCTTCCGCAGAAGAGGCAGCCCACGGGCCAAAGCGGGAGCTCATATGCAATTAATTATAATGAACCGGAATTCTCTCCAAATCCTTCCCACACAAAGCGCGCCGACTGAAGGCTCGAAGGTGCACAATGGGTAAGCACAATGGGCAAGGCTGCTTGCCCAGCAGGGCTCTGACGGATGATTTGATAAATTTCCCCTGTTTTTGCAGTTGCTAGAAATAACAAAGTAGACAGAAGGGAAAAAAACAACCAATGTGACTAATGCATGATGGGGGTCTGTGAAGGCCAAAATCAGAGTACGGGACCTTTCTTTGTCTCTATGACAGTCTCGATAAATCATGACACAAATTGTTGAAATAACTAACTTACCGTAAGGTTTCTTGAAGTTCGTATCTGCAGCACGTAACCTGGAAATATGCAGTTTTAGGGAGTTGCAGAAGCTCCGACTTGTGTAATTTCTGCTTTATATAATATATGAATAGACACAGACCTTTTGACTGGACCAGAGAGCATCTCCTGGCTGTTACAGCCTGTAGCCCATCTGAGAAACGCAAACCTGACTCTCATCCCTCTAATGAAAATAATTAGATGGTAATCAGAAAGAGAAGACCAGAGGCCTTTGAAATTGCAGTTTGTCATAGCAATTTAGGCAAATGACAGCCATTTTGAGCTTTCTTTCCTTTTGTTTAGGTTTGCGTGAACTTTGATCTCTCAAATGCAACATGGCACTTCCATTCCTGAATTCAGCCTCTATGAATAAAATACTGTTTTGTTTATAAACCTCCTTTTTTACATTATTTGCATAACCTGTTACACAGCTGACCTTATTTGTGTTATTAAAATGAGTTTGTAATAATTTTATGATCTAATGCGTGTTTGCTTGCGGGTGACATTTACACAAAGCGGGTTCCTGTGAGAGGCGACCTGGCTTCCCCCACGAGCCACTTATGGACATGCCGTGCGCATGTCTCAGGTCACAGCGCCTTCCTCCGGCTGCGGGATGCGTTCCCTTTAACACTGTGGCTGACCCATCCCACTTGAAAATAATAATTTGATGACTCATAGAGGATGATTTAAAAAAAAAATACTTTAAATGGCTGTTACATTTAATAGAGGAGAAACATCCCCAGAGTTACCTATTGGTTTGAAACCTGAGTAACCCCCTCCCTACACCCACACCCTAACAACACCCTCCCTCCCCACCCTACCCAAAATAAAACTAAATTTCACATCCTGAATTTTCACATGCTGACTAGGATATGCAGTAGGAAGATCGATGGACAGACGGATGGATTATTTACAAATTTCTAAGAGCAACAGCTTCTTCCCCGAGGCTGTCGGAACTTAACGCCCTGCTGCCTCCCCCCTGCCCCCAACCCGCTCCCCAGAACACTTATCCTTTCCAGTTACTATCTATTATTACTAAGTATTACTTATGTATTTATTATTAGTTTTTAGTCACTATATGTATTCGACTCCAACACGCAGCTGCTGTCTTACTTCTTGCTGCCCCGTTTCACATTGCCCTGCGTTTTGCACTTTAAGTCCTATGACCCCCCCCCCCCGTCACTTCCTGTTTGAATGTCACACCATGGTCCTGAGGGAACGTTATTTCCTGACATTAAGTACCTGTATATGGATGGTATGACAAAGCTCACCTGACGACTTCACTTGAATCCAGCAACTTGTCATGAAAAAAATAATTTAAAGGAGGCCAGGCTTGGTTCTGAAAACTCTTCATTAAGGACCCTTTTTTTCTCTTCATTCCAAAGTGAATTTTTACCACTTTTTACACACGGTGCCGCCCATGCTGCGGCTGCACCCGCTCCCACCGCGCCCCCGCTCCCACCGCGCCGGGGTCCGCGGCTGCACCCGCTCCCACCGCGCCGCCGGGGTCCGCGGCTGCTCGCTCGCTTGACGGCTGTGACAGCTCACTCCTGAGGCACATCCTGAGAGACGCCCCCCCATGACCTGTCCATCAGAGCGGTCTGCAGTGGAGCCATCTTACTCTGTCTCGCTAATTTACACTACTTTAACCCACTTTAAAAAAGGAAGGAAGGAAGAAAAATACATTATTTTGGGGGGGAAACTCAAGTTACTGTGGAGGTCTTGGAAAGCAGCTCGTTATCTGTGAATACTGGGTCTAAAGAGTGAGCAAACCCAGCAAAAATAACACCTTTCATTTATATAATTGACAGAACCTTTATTATAATTCCTAAATAGAGGATATTTTTTTGGTTTTGCCTATGCTAAGCTCATGGGTGTAAATTATGAGGGGGTGGGGGGTTGTAACCCCCCTTACAATCAGAACCAGCCAACATAACGCCCCCCCCGCCCCTCAAATTATGATATTGTCATAATGAATGGGCGGGGACCTCAACCCCCCCAAGTGTTCAATCCAAAGCTACGGTTTTAATTAAAGGAAGAAAATACATTTGTCTCCAGAATCTTTCATTTCAAATTCACACAATCTTTCAGGAGTTTGCAAATTATACAGCATTGTTATAAAATACCTCACTTCCCAAAGCAAACTTCCCCGTCGCAAAGCGTATCTCCGACCGGGAATGCATTCCAAGCTGTTCTATTCCATGAGGATCCAAACCCCATGACATATGTTTTTAGTTTATCGTTTCCAGATGGCTAGAAACGGGTTATACGTCATTATTTATTTATTTTTTCCCAGGGACCCTCTCACCACCTCTCCTCTCTGTGCAGCTACTGCGACAGTCCTTGTCGAGGTTGCCGCAGGTGCCGCAGTCGGGAACTTAGAGATGTGAGATGGAGATGGGCAGCGAGCCGGGGTGGAGAGTCAGACTGCCTGTGCCAGAGCGAAACACTCTGGGACTTATTGTGCGCGGAATCACCACAAATGCTGACACGTATTTCAGGATCTGACCCTCCTCCAGGCCGTCTCTCCCAGCCAGGATGGACTCCTTAATTAAAGCCAACGACTGTCAAGGGTGGCCGTATGTGACCAAAATAGTTCATTATTAAAAGCAGCTCATTTACTGTATGCCTACTCCTCCAGTACCAGGTTTCGGAGGGAAAGATCCGATTCCAGGCAGCATAGTTCACAAGGCAGGGGTACGAACTGGATGGGCTGTCAGTCCACTGCAGACAGAATAATGTACTCACGCTGACATTCACTTCATTCATTGCATCTGCACATGCAGATTTAACTCCTGCCTGATAGTACTGTCCATTATTTAAACATCTGAGCTAAGTTTCATCCCAACATTGTTCTTACGGAGCCCCCTAAAGTCATCGTTAGTCACCAATAAATGAATAAACAAACAAATAAACACATCGAATAAATGTCGGCGTGGCCCTCAATAATAAACTGCAAGATGCAATATCACAAGGGTGCCATTGCTGTGCCCGGGGGCGCCAACGAGTAGCTCCCTTCATCTTACACTAAAGTACACATTTGGAACACTGGTGATTGCCTGGCGAAGACGTTACTCAACTCCCTTTTTTGTGCCAATCCCCAGGTACAGTTTAGAAAAAGCTAGTAGCATCACACAGTGCCATACGTCATGATAAACATTGAAATATTTTATTTACGGACAGACTGTAGAGTGCAATGGACAGTTCCTTAATTTCAGTTGATGGGTTTGGAGGGCTTCCTCGGTTAGGATACACATAACCTTTGCTCTGTAGGATCCTTTCAGAATTAGTATTAGCCTTATGTGTTTCACAAGGCAATGGTAATATACATTGGTTAAGGGTTGATATATAATATTTTTTGTGTTACATTGGCACCTTCTGGGAAGATGCCATGGATTTTTTTCTGGGTAGCTGTTACTCTATAGCTCATGGGACTCTCCCTGAACAAGATTATCTTTCCATGTTTAAGCAAGCTGTGCTCTGCTGATGTATACAGCGTCTTGCAGGTGTATGGGCATGTGTGCCCAGCGAGACCATTTAACCTGCTTTATACTAAAGTACCTCATAGTATAGAACATCTGCCAAGAATAATCACAAGAGCTTCCAGAACACCATCATAGCTCAACATCGAATGTACCGGCGTCTGAAGCTTTAAATCACGGAGAACATTCTACTGGGAGAGATTATTAATTAATCATTTGGTGATGAAGTGGTTGGGCACTAGTGGGGCAAGGGACTGGACTGCATGTCAGCCTGGGGGGTGGGGGCGTGGCCAATCAGGATCCTGAGGCGTTTTGTTGTGTGGTGGGTGCGGCAGCGCGCTGAACCAGTGCATGATCCGCAACATGACCTGACCTGGTCGTTTGCTCATGGTAGATTGGGGATGGGGACAGAAACGTTTCACCATAATTTGAACATGATCATGCAAAATAGCTTTCGTAGGCATATACTCAGCCAAGACCCCAGCAGCCCCCACCAGGCAGCGGAGCTTTAAGCAACAGGAAATAAGCCCTTATTTTGGTGTGCTTTACAGTTATCCTGCCAGCAGAGCACATGAAGAGTGACTCATCTGACAGTGACTCCCCCTCCCCACTGCCTGTGCTCTTTTGTACCACTTTACTTGCAAAACTGCACTTTTTGCCATAATAAAGGGTTTATGCACTGTCACCCAGACTCACTGGGTGAAGCTGCCTACTGCTACCAGCATAGGCTACTCATTCAGAGCCGCGCATCCGTTCCGCCATGCGTCTCGAAACGAAACGCGGACGTCACAGCCAATATCTACACACTTTTACAGAGAGCAGCCCCCAAATGACCCCTCTGCTCCACATGAAGCCTCAACAAAACCAGCCAAATTGTTCATAAAGTGCCTAGCAATCACCTCTCTCAGAAAATCACCCTTCTACAAAAGGCAGCTAAATACTGAAAACCCCGGCCTGCCCAGGGGCTTTATATGGGAGCCTAAGTACAATGGAATGTTGATTGCACAATGGAATGTTAATTGCTTAATTGATTTGAGGTACCACACCTTTGTGGAAACCTGCTTTCAATATGTCTTCTATCCTTCTTTCACAGTGCTCAGTTTGCTTTGGCAGTTATTTTATTTACCACTAAATCCTGGTTTTACTTTGTATGCCCCAATGAACAACAATAAAATAACAATAATAAAAATAAAAAGGAACAGTTCTTTGTATATTTTACATTTATATAGTAATGAAACAAGTGAACCAATTTAATAATATAAATCTAATTAGGCATGACTGAAACTGTTACAGAACATATAGTATCTCGACATTCTCACAAATCATAGGACTAAAACATATATTGCAGAATTCAGTTACATTTACTGGAAATTAACTTTAATTTCAAACAAGCTTATGAATTAACATGTTTTTGTTTCCACATGCTTGTTAAAGCTATAGTCATGAATACTCAGTAAACTAACTTTCAAAACAAGTTGACAAATTATATATGAAAGACAACTGAGCCGAAACTTCCAGCACATACCTCTGCCTGCTACTTATGCATAGTCTTCCTGAGTTTACGTTTTCCTACCTAAAGCATCCCTAAGTCTTTACTATGCGATTGCATGTGGCTATCTATACCTTGGAAGAATATCGTTCAT